CGGAATGTGAGACCTTATCCAGAGAAGCAGCAAAACCAGAGATGGAGGCATAGACGAGGACATGGGGAGAGGGAGCAGCTGAGGACTCTAGATTTATGGAAAGAGGGACTGAGAGCTGGTTGACAGGAAGCAGACTTTCAGAATGTGCCATTTGGTGGTTTAAATTAATATGTATGCCTGAGTGTTGTGATTTTTTTTTTTTTTTAAAAAAAGAGCTATAGTAAATACAGATATTGATATCTGATGGTATATGGAGGGGATTATAATCAATGTAATGAAACAAAGTTTATGATTTGTTGAATGTAAACCTGATATCTGCCCTGTAAACTTTCACTCAATTCACAATAAAAACTTACAAAAAAAAAAATGAGTACTCTTAGAAGGAGGAGGATCTCACTACCATTGAAGAATAAAGGGCCGGGAGTGGAGCATGTCCTTAGACCCCTATATCCATAAACAGTGAACCTCCTGGACCCAGAAATAGAAATCTGTAACACTGGAGGAGTGGCAGAGAAGCAGTAGCAGCAGATAACAAGTACCACAGCACCAGATAGATCAGTGGACTTTCCAGCCCACAGAGCAAGTAAAGCTGAGTAATTTTGGGTGGAACCTCCAGACACTTAGGTGGGCCAGTGCCTTCAGGCTGAGGCTTACGATGTGTCCTATTCATCAACAGCTGACAGAAACAACTGTGCCCTGAGCATTTTCTGATCCTGTATTGTACGTAGCCTGTTAACTTCCCTAATAACCCCCCTAACTATTATCTTAGGGTTCTATGGCCGCTACAGTGAATTATTAAACCTAGCTATGAGGGATATGGGAGGAATGGGTTGGTGTGACATGTCATTTCTGTACTAGTTTCAGTTCACTCATGCATGGGTTTATTCCAATGTGTTTAAACATGTCTTTGTGATCAGAGGATAGCTGCAGACAAATTCTTTGAGTAATACACTAGTCTTTGTCTCATTCGGGTGCCTTCAGAAAGTCCAATCAAATCTGTGGCTGATCTGCTGGACCAGGTGAGAGGTCAGTCCAGGTTAGGGCAGCTGTTTTGTGGGACTCTAAAGGTATAATCTTAATAGATTTTCTCCAAGGAGCCAGCAAAATATCAAAAATTTTTAAGACAACTGAAAATTGCATTGATGAGAATTTCCATGGGAAACCTTATCCCATCCACCTTAGAGCCCTTGATCTTTCCCCTTGAGATTTATTTCTGTGTCAAAAACTCAAAGAACACTGAAAAGAAAGACTATTGGTATCCACTGAGGAGGTTAACACTAACATTTTGACGTTGTGGAAATCGAAGAGTGCAGAATTCTTCAAGGAAGGACTACAGAGATGGAAACAGTGGCTTCAGAAGTGTATAGACCTAGATTAAAGATATGTCAAGAAATAATAGCTTTACCATTTTGGTATTTTATTTGTTTCTGGAAAGGCTTTATTATTGACTGATGGGGGAACATTTCGATATTTTTGTTTAATACAGGTTTCTATGATTTTGTGAATACCTTAGACTTACTCTTATACACAGTATTAAAATGGCAGCACTTTCACCTAGTAGAATTGATGCCTTTGAGTTGTGGTGTTGGAGGAGAATACTG